GGTAACTGTAACGGAATACAGTTACTCATATTTTGTATTTTAAATACGTAACGGCGGTACATGTATTCCGTTACTCCCCAACACTGCCTATAGATGGTTTTAAATGTTTAATATTCCTTTTTCTGTTTTACTGTCTTCCTTTTTTTAGTATTGCCTGTTTGCTTGTCTGTTCACTTCCTGTTTTACTTTGGTTGTTGGTTTTGTTTTTTCTCTTGTTTTCAGTTTATTTCTGTGACTGTCTGTCCTGTTTTCACTCCTGTCTTTTTTTAGTCCGTATTCCAGGAAGCAGACTGAACAATCTGAGTTTAATCAGCAACTCTGAGTTTTCAGTTCCACTGCGAGGAAACTGTCCGATAGTCTGAAGATTTAACTCTGAGCTGAGGATAAATCTTTGATGTAATCATTGTTCCCACACTTACTATTTTTATTAACCATGAAGTTGTCAGTGGAACAAACCCACATTTTACTGGGATATCAGGATCAATTTCTGCAGAATAATTCACCTCGCTCTGAACTTTGACAGCGGCAGGAGCAGCAGGAAGGAAGGAAGTTCACAGAGTGTAACGCCGTAACTGACTCAGAGTTGAAGTAAACTCTCTTTCTGGAACACACTAAGGCTCTGCTCTGGTTGGCTCCTGAGTTTTTCCAAAGTATTCGTTTAGCTCCTGTGTGTTATATGGATGCCCGTGTTTCCCTTTAACAAAATAAAGGTTTTTGGCTTTTTGGTTGTGTGCTTGTCTCGCTTTACAGTCCTCTCAACACTGCTTATCGTGACACAGGTTACTTGTGTATATACAGAGACAACTGTATTTGAAGTCATATTAAAGTTGAGCTTGCATGATTATAACGGTATAAGACAGAAAATAATGAAAAGCAGAATAAGACCATTTTAAGTAGACAAATGTATACATTCATTAGTCTCATAGGTAGATTTTGTGGCATGACAGTCTTAAGTTAGACGATGCATGATGCACAAGTTAAACAAACACCTATCAAATATCAGATATGGACTTAAACTCACACTTTTTAATACCCAGCATCCATCAGAAACTGTTATATTACACAGGTGTGGGTATTTTAAACACTGGAAAACAGCCAGTCGGTTTCTTTCGTCGCATAACATACGGGCGGATTATCTGCACAGTCGTGTTTACACTTCTCCATTATTCACATGTAGGTGAAATGTTTCAGAAGCATGTCTTATTTCCTTCCTGAAAATTCTTGGTCAACTAATATTTTAGAGACTTCTCTATATGTGCACTAATGCAGTGCAGTGTTGCTAACTATGTTGCTTACATGCTAAAAATATTTCAGGCACTTCAAACACTTTCCACAGACCTCCCGTGCAAGTGGAAAAAAATCCCCTGACCTGCTCAGAAAACTGCCGAAATGCTACCAAGTGGCTTTTGGGGTGTGTGAAGAGTCTTTATATACTTTGAGATCTCCAGACACCTTACTGCATACAGTTTTGTCATTTAAACGTTAGAAATGTGTCATTATTAATATTATCTTTAACAGTGGTTATAGGATGTTACTCCTGGCACAAGAGCTACAGAATTACATTTTTCAAAACACTCAATGCACATGTTTAGCTGTCACTCTAGGACAAAGGTCTGATCATGAGAGTTTAAAGGGCCAAAAAAAGTCTAAAATCAAAATTATTATGATTCTAATGAGGAGACCGAGTTTCTTTCAGAATAAATGCATGGAGCCCTCAAAGACCCGAGACAGTTTAGATAAGTTTGATTTAGCTCAGCTATAGTGAAAGTGCCAACAAAACAATCAACAACTGTGGTGGCCACAGCACAAAGCTATGAAGTGAAGCACAAGATTAACAAAACCTTACTTGATAAAATGTGTTTCAAGAGGTCATAAATGAAAAAGTGATCTTACCACTGCAAGCGAATACTGTTGAGCTTTAAAGAAAAAGAGCCCAGCTGTCGAGCACAAACATGCTTTCTGCTGTTTAGAGAAGCGAAGCTGCTGCAAGGGGAAATGAGCATGGCACTGCAGTGAGTGCACAGCCTACTTCAACCACAGATAAAAACAAAAAACACAGTAAAAACCCTTCCTTGTGTTTGAATATCACTGTAAACCAGATAAACCGCATTTTACATCCCTGCCTAGACTTGTTTATCTTTCAGCTGGTAATGAAATCTTCGTAGGAAGAAATGAGGGTTTCAAAAAATAAATACACTAATTCAGTTTCTGACAAAGTGTGAAAAAAAGCTCAGACTCGCTCTTTCTGTTCTTTAGTTGCAGGACTAAATGATAACCAGAAGTGTTCTTGCATAACCATTATCTTTGTCTACAAATCACTTCAACATTTTATCCTTTTGGACATTTTCATGAAAAATTTAAAGTAATTAAATGGCTCATTTGTCCAGTCCTGGACAGAATCTTGTTTTGTGGGCTCAGAGTGGCTCTGAGGCTGTTTACCCTGAAATTCAACTGTACATTTGTGGTAGATTTGAAGAAATTCCCCTAATGCAGCAATATCGAAAGTGTGGGCTGTGGCCTGACAGGGCCATGATGATAAGAGTGAGTGGGCTGCAAGTGATGAAGTCCTCTCAGTGAACTCTGTCCTCTCACTGACGACGCTACGTCCAGATGAACAAAATCAACTTTCTGAGACTAAACTAAAAAACCTAAAAACAAAAATAGAATTAATGAAGCTAAATTATTCGATTAAAATGTGACAGGACTGTGTAAGACTTGTTTTTGAATTGGCTGGGCTGTCTGAAATATGGGTTACCGTGGGTTAAAAAAAGCTGGTCTGCAGGACAACCAAAAAGCGCAATGGCTCAGTTGTTCACGTAGCA